GGCATAGTGCCTGGCACCTGGTCTACATTTAAGAAATCTTTCTTGAGAGGTGGGGGATGACTCCAGTGATAAAGTACCTGCCTCAGAATCATGATTACCTGAGTTAACTGGATAGCCAGCAAACTCCCAAAATGTACCTATCTCTTCCTCCCAGAACTGGGATTACAGCTAAGGCCATGTTTAACTTTTCACATGGCTTCTGGGAATACAGAATAAGGTCCTCATCCCTGCACTCAGCCACCTCTTCAGCCCCACCGGGAGGTTTTTCACTACCCAAGGGCAAGTAGTCAATGGACCAGGGATGGCCGAAGCCCAAGCTGTGGGGGCTTGTGTAGGGTCCACATCCGTCAAGCGCCAGAGACGCTGATAGCAGCCTTTCCAGCTTGCTCCAAGCCCCTCTCCTAAAGAAAGTCATAAACAAAGAGTGAGACCCTGGCAGAACCACCAGGCTCTATCCTTCAGTTTACAAAGCCTCGGTGTCTCTGCTGAAGGCCATCAGCCCAGCACCATGGTGGCTCTGCACAGATGAGGGAAAAGCACAGATAGGTGATGTGACTCATCTAAGGCACACAGAAGAGGCTTGGCAAGACCAACTCCTGGCTCCTCAGCCCACATTCTTTCCATTGCCCTTCCCCGGGCTGCCAGCTCAGACCCACATCTAAAGCCCATTGCAAGCCTTGGTCCCAGGCCCAAGCAGGTATTTCTCCTCCTTCCAGGAACCTCAGCCGAGCCCCTCAAAGATGCCAAAGCCATGTCAGACCCTGAGTGAGTACACTCACAGATTTTCCACCTAGCTGGGACCCACTTAGCTCCCCTCCCAGAGACTATCTCTGCAGGTAGCCAGTGTCCATTAGGACAGCACAGCAAGGGTTAACAGCATGAACTAATATTTAGAAATAGCATATCCCAGAGGGAGTCAGCTGTGGCCAGCTGGTCACAGCCACTGAATCCACAAGCCTTTCTGGACATGGTGTGGCAGAGGAGAGCCTGTTCTGGGGAACCTGAGAAGCCCCAAGAGGGTAGCCCACTCCTGCCTCCATGCCATCAGGCATAGGCGTGGCCCAGAGCCCACCCAGGCTTGACAGACAAAGCTCCCCAAGGGCCTCCTAGCCACAGCCTTGCGACCAAAGCAGCAAGCACAACTTTTCAGCTTCTGAATTGTGCAATTGTTGGGACTAGCTGCTTCTGCCCGCCTGAGCCTGGCTGCCTGCGCTTGGAGGAGCCCCATAGGCTCCTGGGCCAGAAGCTGAAGCAAGGCCACTCCTAGCAGAGGCTTAGCCTGAGGCTTCTTCAGAGAAGTTTCTGATTATGAGACTGTAGAGCTAAGGAAGCAATGCCTCATGCCCTTGTCTCCTTGCACAGGGCAGTCTTCGTTCTGCGTCCTTCTTGGCAGAGGGCCAATTCCCTAAGGGCAGGTCCCAAGCTCTTGAAGCACAACCCTATTCAGACACCACCCCTTTGTGGGCACAAGCACAGGCCATTTACCAACAGGCTGGCTTTGGCCACAGGCTCTTTGGGTGGAGCCCATCCGTCAGGGTGCAAAACACCCAGGCTGAGGGCAGGGTGGGGCTGCAGCCACTGCCAAGGCAGGCACGCTTAGTCCCACAGGCACTGGGGATGGGGGCGATCAGTAAATGTGATCAGAAGAGTCTGGCCAGCTTGCAAGGCTAAACACTGGTGGCAACGTGGAAGTGGTTTGGCTGTCTGTTGCCTCATTTCCCTAGAATAGTGGGGGAAACTGAGACCTCAGATACTCTAGGTCATTGAAACATCAGAGAATTTGTGATCCTCTGACTTATAGGTGGGAGTGTTCTGAGTCATCTTTTTTCCTTGTCTTCCTTGATGTCCTGTCTTGTGGAGAGGTATCAGTCTAGCAGGTGGGAAAAGCACTGAGTTAAAACCTCCTGGTCTGACTAGGGAGAAGAGACTGTGGAGTCTTTAGACAGAAAGGTAGGTGTAGGGGAAAGAGGGCAGTGGAGGCTTCTTGAGGGAAGGTTAGACATGACAAGTGACTACAAGAGTAGTCACTGTGGACATCTGGTCAACCCAAGTCAAAGAAAAGCATGGCAAAGGTTAGCAGGCAGAATGGAGGCAGGAGTCAACCTCGAGTGTACCAGGAAGACTTAAGTCAGCTCTGCTCAGGACAGGCATGTCCAAGAGGCTAGGATGAAAACAGCAGAGGAGCTGGCGCCATCCTACAGCACCATTCTGGGTCAGTGGAAGATGTCATTCTAAAGCTACATGGGGCCTCAATTCTCGTGCCTTTGTTCAGCTTCAGCCCAGGGTTCAAGTCTCATGCGACAGACTAACAGAGGCCAAGCATGTGGACTCAGAGACCCAGTGACCCTTCAGTATTGAAAGCCTCGGTTTTCTCTCTTGTCTGGAAACACTTATTTCCCAGGTGAATGATTTTTGTTTTTAATCTCTCAGTCTCTTGCCCTCTCACTTGCTTCCCCCACCTCAGGGTAGCCTGGAACTAACTTTATAGTTGAAAATGACCTTGAATTTCTGATTTTCCTGCCTCTACCTCCCGAATGTTAGAATTAAAGACTTTAGCCCTCATGCCCGTTGTTGTTTTTTTTTTTTTCAATCCTTGGTTGTTTTTCTTTTTTAGATTCTTTTTAGTTGAACTTAATTGTGTATGTATGACATGTATACAGGTATCTATGGAAGCTAGAAGAGAGTATCAGAGCCCCTGGAGCTGGAGCTACAGGTAGTTGTGAGTCACTCAGTGTCGGAGCTGGTAACCAAACTCAAGTCCCCTGCAAGAGCTGTAAGCATTCTAATTGCTGAGGTATCTCTTCAGCCTCATGCCGAGGGTTTATGCAGTGTTGCATAGCAAACCAGGGCTCTGGTATACTGGGCAGGCACTCAACCAATTGAGATCCATTCCTATCCTACCCCCCCTTCCCAGCCCCACTGCTAGAGATTGACTCCAGAGCCTTGCGTATGCTAGGCAATTGCTCTACTGACTAGTTATTTCCCCTGGAAATGTTTTACAAACTGGGAAGCCCCAGCAGCGACGCACAAGCTGGGTCATGCATGTAGTGCTGGCCGCATTCTTTTTCTAGGCCTGGTTCTCAGCCTCATCAGGAACAAGCCTGGGAAGGCTCTGAGCTCATCCCGTCTTAAATCTCAGCTGTGGGCTGGGCTGCAGCTACTGGTCTGAAGGCTCCTCAGACAAAGAAATGATTCCTGGTGATGGTGGGCAAATAAACCTGTGGGTAGGGAGCAAGCAAGATGGGAGAAGATGGGTGGCATGGGACGGTACACATCCCCACTCTAGTTCCCAATTCATAAAAAGGCCAACACCTCCTCTCCCTTTCATTCTTAAAAAGAAAACTCCCCATCCCAACCTTCCAAGAAGCCTCCCTTCCTCAACCCTGGGCCCATATTTGGACAGCAATTGGCCCCTAACAAGGACCAAGTGTTGTGCTGACTCAGAAGAAGGAAAACAAAAGGTAAGTCATGGACTCGTTACCTCAGGTTACCTAGGGTGCCTGGAAGGTTAAGGCAAAGTCTCTGTAGAATAGCAACAAATGGCTTCTTAGTCAACCCTAACGGGACTTATCCAATACCTACTGTGCAAAACTGCCTCTGAAGGGGAAAGCTGAAGGTTCACAGAAGACACTGCATCGGGGACGATGTAAGTGGTATACAAACTGTGAAGTATGGAATGTATAGCATGAGAGAGGAAGAAGAAAAGACAAGTATCTGTTGAGTGCCTACTGTATGACAGACCCTGGGGTAGGCATTTGAGACATATTAAAACATCTAACCCTTACAAATTGAAATGTGTAAATGAGGAATGGGAACATGGGGGAAGGGACTAGTTAAAGGCCAGACAGTCAAGTAAGAGAATTGGGATCAAGGACACTGGTCAGACCAGGCGTGCCAGTAAGAGCACCGAGCTTCGGCTCAGTGAGTTAGCTTCCCTTTGTCTGGATCAACTTACTCGAGTCCTTTAGTCTCTCTCAGCCTCAGTTTCTCCATTCAAATGGGGCTCGGTTATGTTAAGTTATGGAATGTTTTACTCGTGACAGGACTGTTGCCGCCGAAGAACTGGGAAGAGATGTAGAGTGGACTGTGGGCTGCAGCAGGGAGCCCGGCGTTGGGATGTGTGTGAGAGAAAAGAGGAACGGGTTCTCTGCTATCCTTCCACGGAAGAAACCCAGGCCAGGTCCCACTGCAACTGGGGCTGGCCAAACACAGGCACTGGGAAAGGCCTCTGCTTTTTCCAGCTCCTGGTTGGGACTGGGCAGGCTCTTGTCTGGGAAGGAGCCAGCAGGAGAAGGCCCCAGCCCGAAGCTGTTAGGTAGGAGCTAAATCCAGGGCCAGATTTCTAGGAGGCAATGGGGCAAGCAAAAACACCAAGATTCTTAGGTCAGGAGGCTGGATTCCTGGCAGGAAATGGCCGTGGCCGGACACCCACCTCTGGCCCTGGATCCTGAGCTGGTCTCCTCCTCCACAAAACGAGGGGAAGGGTGTTCAGCCCCCACCTTGTTTTGAAGCTATGCTATCCCAGGCTTTGTCTTTACAGGCAGAGAAAGTACAGTCTGTGGACAGAGGAGGGCAAGCTAGCGGTCTGCGCAAGTGGAGTCCTCAGAGACCTGTGACCTTGGGGACACCTAGGCCCCCACCGTCCCCACAAGGGCAGAAGAGGGCTGGCAGCTCATACTTTATTTCCCATCCTCAAGCTGACCCTGCCCACAGTGTTCTGAGGGGTCTAAAGCCTCAGAGACCTTGACCCAAATCCTTAAAATGGGTCTGACTTGGCAGTAAAGGTCCTTCAACCCTGACCAAGAACAGGAGCCCAGCACGTCCCCTTTAAGAAGGTTGGGGGTGGGAGCAGGCAGAGGGAGCCCCCGCCCGAAATCCAAGCGCGGGTCGGCGCCTGCCCCGCCCCCGGAGTTAAGTACCGGGCAGCCCTTGCGCCCTAGCCCGCGCGAGGAGCCCGGCTCCCTTGACTTGCGACTCGCTGCTGTCCAGACTCAGCACACTCTGTTCCCTCGCCTTACAAGTCCAGACGCCCAGCCCGCCGCGATGCTTTTCGGCCCGGGACTCACGCTGTCACCTCCAGCCCTGGCCCTGGCTCTTACCTTGGCCTTGTTGGTCAGATCTGCAGCTCCTGGTGAGTGAGGGGTTGAGACCCTGGTCCAGCCTAGGGAGTCTATGTGGGGCTGCACTGACAGGCCAGGATCAGGAGCCCAGGGGCCTGTTTTTCTTCCCCTGCTGAGGATCTGGGGCGAAAGCTGTGATCTCTGTTTATGAGGACCGGAGCCACCCAAGGTTGTCTGGCTTTTCTGACCCTAGAAAGTCAGACCCTCCGGAAAGGGGCCCCTGGAGTCAGGTTGCCAAGGGCGTGGCTCTGCCCACCCAGATTGTCCCAAACAGTTAGGCCGCCTCAGGGCTATCCAGTCTTGTTGCAAGACAGGTTTGGGGTGACCACAGTGGTACTCAAAGGATACCCAGAGGCATATTAAGTGGGTGCCCTGGCCACAGATAACCTGAGGCAGAAATGGGGGTGCTCTGAGGTGAGAAGTGGAGAAGAAGCATAATGCCCCACCCTGTGTGTGCCTAGCCATGGACTCCTCTAACTGCCTTCTGGCCTCTGTACTCTCTCACAGCTCTGTACCCCTCTTTTTGTTCCCAAGGGCTGGCTGGCTTCTGCCCCTATCTCAGCATCCTTTTGCCTTTTCTTCCCACCCTGCTCTCCTCACTGAGAGGACCTGGTTGGTGACAGATTGGACCACCCACTTTTCAGGTTACAGAGGCAAGGCTGGCTGTCACCCCTTAGATATTACTCTGACAACCGGGGGGGGGGGGGACCCGAGCCACGCCTCCTGTCCCTAGCTCTGGTGCCGGACCCAGCAGAGACTGAATGAAAGTATACTTCTGAGAGGTGCTGGGCATCGCCTCTGTTACAGTGCCAGGGCTCTCAGCATTACAGCATTCTTCCTTTGCTGGAGACAAGGTCTGGTTATGCCATAAGATCTGTGGCCTCGGGGCCCATCAGTCATTATTACCAATGTATGAATCAGGCCTTCAGCCTACATCTTTCAGGACCATTTCCAAAAGCAACTATGAGCAGAGAAGGAACTTGAGTCTCCCTTACAGGGGCCCAGGCCACACCCTTCTCACCATCAGATGGAGGAGACCAACTCTAAAGAAGGGCATCACGAGGGATCCAGAAGGGAAATGAGTCAGGGAAGGCCCCCTGTACGAAGGTGACTCTGGGTGGGTCCAGGCTTCCCATTCCTGCTGCACAGTCCTCCTTTCCTAAAATCTCACATCCCTGGTGGTGACCAGACCTAGACGTGTGAAAAGAGAACACTTGAGGCAGCTGGGAGTTCAGCTCATCCAGCTCCCAATTTCCAGCCAAGAGATCAGTTCCCTGCAGCCCCTACATATTTGGGCTTCAATTCTGAGAACAATTCTCAGATACCATCTTAGCACTGACAGCATGAGACATAACAGTAGGGCAACACAGAGATGGGCAGGCTCAGTTGGGGTGTGGCAATGAATGCTGTAATGCCAGCATTGAGGAGGTAGAAGGAAGAGGATTGCACTGTGAGTTCAAGGCCAGCCTGGGCTGCAGAGTGAGTCTCAGAGAAGCCTCAGCTAGAGGGAGACCCTGCCTCCAAAACAAACAAAAAAGAAAAAGGCAGGGGAAGAAGAGAGGTGAAAGAGAAAGGGGTGGGAGGGGGAGAAAACTTGTATTAATTCAGGAGATAGATTCAGGTGAAAAGTGAGGAGGAAATCAGAAACAAGACGGTGGGACAGAGGGCCAGCTGTCCTTGAGTCAATCCTTGAAGGCTGGGAAGGGAGTCTGCACTCCCGTCTGCGGTCCTCAGCCTGGACAAGAGCTGGAGGTGGGTGTAACAGGGTGTTGAAATAGAAAGAGCGGCAGCTTGACTGGAAGGCATATTTTGAGCACAGGACAGGAAGAGCCATTGGGCTGGGACACAGAAACCTTAAATGGCAAAATGACGCCCACAGACAGGCACTGATGGTGACAAGAAGAAGGTACAAGTAAGGCAGGGGGCAGTGGGGTATCTGTTTTGTAACATTGAACCCACCCTGGACTTCAGGAAGGATTTGAGCATGGCTGATATTTCCCCCTATGCCAGACAGAGCTTCTGTATAGCCAACTCTTGTCACCCCTAACCCAGACAAGGGAGGACATCTGTGTGGGGGCCAGACTCACAGGCCAGCATCAGGAGTCCGGGGTCCTGTACTTCCTCCCCAGGCTGATTTCTTTTTGTGGAATCTCCAAGTATCCCAGGTTGTCTGGCTTTCATGACCCATTCATCAGCTTGCCCAGGCCCCTCCTAAGTTCTGCCAGAGGAAAGCATCGCTCCACCTCTCTTGAAGGCGCCTGGGTTTTCTTGTCCTAGCCAAGGCACACTCGGGTGGCTCCCTGTACCTGTGGGCATTCCATAGTATCCAGATCATGGGGTTTTGGAGGAAGTTTTCTTGGCAGCCATTTGGGCCAACATCTCAACTGTACAGACAAGAGCATTGAGACTCCAGAGAGGAAGCAAAAATCTAAGGGCCTTTGCAGAAACTCAGCCACCCAAGAAAAGCCCAGGGAAGAAAGGGAGTCCACTCCTTCTGAGCTCTGTCAGAGGTCTTCAGTAGAGGAACAGAGCTGGGGGAAGCCAGGTGAGAGGGATGCTGGAAGGACAGACTGAGGAGAAAGAAGATGGCATTCCAGGACAAGAAGGCCTGGGGTGTGTCAGAAGATAGCACTGGGGACAGTGACCGCCCTGCTGTACCTCTGCTCTGGGCCTGACCTTATATATCTGACTAAAAGGCAGGATATAAGGTATTGAGGTGGAACCCGCATAGCATTGCCTCGAAGGGGCGTTATTTAAATGAGGATTTTGAGGTTATCTAAATGAGGACCAGAAGCGATGGGGTATTTAGGGCAGCTAGGCTTCAGGGCCCCACATACAAGAAAGAGGATCAGGGTAGATCCTGTTGGCTCTGAGAGTGATTTCAACAGGCACCAGTGGTGTGGAGACATGTGAACCTTGTGTGTGCACCTGGCACGCTGCCTGGGATCTCTGAGGGAGGGCAGAGGCCAAGGCCTTAGCCCAGCCCACCCAGACTCTAGAAGAGCTGCCCCAGAACCAAACATAACTGAGCTCCCCCTCCCAATGTCCACATGCCCAGGCAGGACAAGAAGGGCTTTTTAGCAGTGCCTGCCTGGGCGGGGGCCGTGGGGGAGGGTGAGCCATGCCAGGTGGGCCAGGCTGCTGTTTTCTGGGACCAGGAGGGGAAAGGGCCACGGGGAAGGGAATGGGCGTGTGTGGTGCTCACGCAGGAAGTGTATAGGCTGTCTGGGGACTGGGCGTGCTGCCCAGGATGGGGGAGGGGAGGGGGACTTGGATATCCATGATGTTCGTGCTTGCTTGTTCTCTGGTACACAGAGCTGGGGGCACACAAGAGGACCCACAGGCGCAGGCCATGGTGGTATACAGCTGCTCTCTTAGACCCTGACAGAGGCAGCAAGGGCAGGAGTAGCCGCTGCCTCATCTCCTGAAAGACCTGGGCTTGAGTGGTACCTTGGGGAAGTGGGGGCGCTGGCCAGAGCTGCAGTCCCTGATCAGCACCAGGAGCAGATGAAGGAGTCTGTGAGTGGACTTTAAGCCTGCTTCCTCTTTGGTTTTCTGTTGTTCTGCTGACTCCCCCACAACTGCAGGCCAGGTGGAGAGCCCCTCCAGCGCTCCCCCTGCCCCAGCCTATGTCAATTCTGCCAAGCTCTCTGGAGGAAAAACTCTAAATCTCAAACTCAGGTGGAGTGGGTCCGGATGCACTGTGTTGCCTTCATTGCTGAATCTGCAAGGAATCTTGGAATTAGCTGGATTAGCAGCAATAGTTAAGTGTTTAGATCCTTTCTAGGGCAGGGTTCCCTAGGTCTCTGGTCTCCAGGAGAATCCAAACCTCCTAGCAGGGGGAGGGTCAAGCCGGTTCATGACTCAGTCTGAGCACTTGCCTCCAGAGCTAGCCATGTGGGTGCAGGAGCACAGAGCAGGAAAGTTTACGGACAAGGAGACTGGGCTCAGAGAGAAATAAGGACCCACCCCGCCCCCTGCCAATCACTCTAGGCATTCTCATTCATCCCAACAGAATGAGCCATCCCAGATCAGGCCAGCAGGGTGGGGACATGCACCAGAGACCTCACACCACCACCACCACCACCAACCCAGAAGAGAGCTATCTCTAGATAGCTACCTCTAGAGAGGTGCAAGTCTCTGTCCCTCCAGAAATTGACTCCGTCTTTCCAAGTCCTCCTACCTCAGAGCAGAAACAAATACCCTATTAAAAAACCTCCACCTACTTCCAGCTAGAGCCAAAAAAGAAGCCACGCGTTTGTCTCTGATATGGGCTGTAGCCTGGGGCTGCTGTCTAGGTGGTAGATGTTCTGAGGTAGTATGGGTGGACCTGGCCAGGAGCAGCGCCTGTCTTGTTGACCAGTCCTTCTCAATCAGTGCCTACCCACTCCCGCCGGCTCGAAGCCTGTGGAGGAGCCAGCTCTGCCAACTCTGATGTGCGTTAGCCAGGCTGCCAGCCATGGCTCATGCTTACTTAAATGTTTCAGCATGTTCCCTCCCCATCTTCCTCCACAGACTTCACAGCAGAAACTCTGAGTCCAGACCAGTCCCAAGCGGGTCACAACAGGGCTCAGGAGGCTGCTTGCCCTGGAGTCACATAGTGCCTCCAGAATGGATTGGGGGCCATGTCTCCCTGCCCTTTGTCCTTATTCCTGGCATGGGCGGTGGCCTCAGTCAGAGGACCCAGCAGCCCCGTGGAAACAGATGCCCCATCTCCTTTTTCCTGACTCATAGCTGAGTACCGGGTTGGTCCACAGGGGGCTGTAGAGATCACTGTGCTGACCAGAAGTTCAGAATGTGCCTCAGAGTGCTTCCTGGGGTCACACTCCAGCCCACCTGGAGGTACATGATCCTGGGGCTATGGGATGTCTCACCCAGTGCACGTGTAGCAGCTTCCTGAACAAATGTTTACAGATTGAGTTTTGTCTGCTTTTTGCCAGGAGTGATGGCCCATACCTGTAAACCCTGTACTTAAAGGAAGCATGGCCAGCCTAGGCTACAGAGCAAGACA